GCCTGTGCTAGGACTGGATCTGGGGTTCCCGGAATGTGGCAGAAATTCCTACTTGGCAGGCGGGGTGGGGGAGATGCTGCAGCATGGTGAGGCGCATCCCAAGGTGGTGGAAGAGGGTCTCATCCACTCTGTGCCTGGGCTGGGACCAGTAGGTCCCACCGGCGCAGGGTAGCCAGAAGCTCTCCCACACACTCACTGGGCCTGGGCTAGGACTGGGTCTCTGCATTGTAATTTTAAGTAGAGGTGTCAAGATGTGAGCCTCATTATAAAGGTGATATTTGTGGAATTACCCCAGTGAATTTTCAGATGAGGAGCATTTCAGAGAACGGACTAGTATGCATGCCCTAAGTTGGGAGTGTGCCTTGTCTATCTGAGGAATAAGAAAATGAGTAAGAAGCAGGGGAGAGTGGAAGATAACATCAGAGAGGTAACAGTCCAGGTCCTATAGGGCAGTGGTCGCAAACCCACACAGTAGGCTATTTGTGTCATTGAAAGCTCTAAAAAGTTCAACATCAATCAATCAATCAATCAATCAATAAAATAAAAAGTTCACCATCACTGTTACAGGGCCTCATAGCCCATCCTAAGAACTCCTGATTGTATTGAGAGAAACAGGAAGCTGTTGTGAGATTTACCAAAATCTGCCTTATAATTGAATGACTTTTATTTTAAAAGGATCACCCTGGGGCTTGGAGGGAAGGATCCAAATCCTTGTTGAGGCCAGACCTAGTTTTATAGATAATGCTAGGTAGACCCCAGTATCTGCCACATGAAGGCCAAGGGCCAGACCTTACTTCTATTTGTCTTTTCTTGGCAGAATGTATATAGCTTAGTTAAATGGTCCAGAAAGAGACCTACTCTTTTGAAAAGGTAAATTATTGACCTTTGACTATAGTATCGCAAGTTATACAAAGTGAAATTTAAGGAATAGAAAATTGAACTAAGAAAAAAACAAAACTGAACTAATGAGTGAAACCAGAATGTTCATTCCTTATTTAAAAGCTGTATGATAAGTATTTGTTCTGCTCTGTGAAAAGTACCAATTCGCTGGAGAAATAGCCATGACCAAAATCT